AACCAAAGAGGTGAAAGACTATATTATATACCAACAACTAACAAGGACCCCCACAAGGTTAATGGAAAAAAAAAAAATCTTGAAATGTAGATTCTCTTCTCATTAAGTCTAATGATAATAAAAACAAATACCTTCATGCAATACCCCAGGGAAATAACTGAAGTGGAAAAATAACACAAAATATTGAAAACTGTACACCGGACAGATCTAGAAACTCTGATTATCTATTAAAAATGTACACTCTGAAAGATACAAAACGAGTACAAATATAAATACTGAAGAAAAAAGCAAAAAGCTAAAACCTTGATACTATCTAAGATTAATACTTTACCTGCAGATCCTCACACAAAAAGACAGATTCTTGAAAACTAATTCGGTAAGTCTTTAAGGCTTTTAACTTTCCCTTCTCTCTACAAGCAGGACAATACCCATCTGACGGGACTTTAGCTGAATCATAATTCTAAAAAAGAAATAAAGTAAATTAAAATATAGACATTCCTAAATTATATCAAATTACAAAAAGTCAAACGAAAAAGGAACCAGAAAAAAATTACAATTTTCACCTGGAAGTGTTCTGGCTAGATATTTTAAACATGGCAAATAAAAGAAAAGCACATAGGCTTAAAATACAGCTACTATTCCAAAAAGAAATGCATTATAGTTTTAAATATTAAATTTTAAGTGCTAAAAATAGCATCAGTTTTATGTGCAAGAAAAAAGTAATGCCAACTGCCAGGGAAAATGTATGTTCCATATTTTCAGAGAATAATAAACCACAAGGTCTATGTTCTATTTCTACTTTCACATACCAATAAAACACAGAGAGGTAAACACATTAAAATAATCTTTCGCCATTGCTTAAGATTTCCGTGGAAGATATAATTTTTTAGAAGTTAATTGGAAAATTAAAACCAAATTTAAATCTCTAAAAAAAGGAGGAAAAAACCCAACTTTGCACTGAGGCAAAAAATAAGTTCACTAACTTTTCCCAAATACCCCACCATGTGGAGTGAAGATATCCCTATATCAGTCCCTGGTCCAATCACTGGCAAACCATTTCCAATCTTCGGGGAATCCATCATTCCGAGTCATTGGCTAATTTATGTCACTTGAAACATGTCAATATCACTAAGGATTTTTCAATGAACCCTGGAAAAAAAAAAGTCAATAGACAATTAAATAAAAAATTCTATTTACCTTGAAAAAGAGCTATGCTATAAGATGTATATATATTAAATATACTTTGAAACCATAGGTCTTAAGATAAACATATTCTAAAATTGTAATCTTGACATGAAATCAAATAACCTATACATAGAAACCTGGCAAATTTGTTGGAAGAGGGCAGACTGGAAACAGGACCAAGTTTCAGACTTACTTGTAAGCCAATTTATTAAAACTTACAAAAGAAGGTAACTATTCTTTAAAGCAAATTATACTGACCAGAGTTTGAAAACTCAAGTTCGTAGAGTTTATGCATAATCTGAAACAAGTATGTCAGCGTTATATTAGAAGGTACTTTAAAGACTCAGGATCTTTTGTGCCATTGCTTGACAGGGACAAAAGAACCCCATAAATTCCTATTGCTTTCAACCACTAAGAACAGGTCACCAAGAGGATAATGCTATTTTTTTTAAGTTTCCACCAATATACTATTTTATAATAAATGAACTGTACCCGACAAAAATGTTAACTCTGTAATAGTACAAATTAGGTATTTAACAAGCTTGGTTTGAGTGTTCATTTCATGGAGTAGAATCACATTCAGTAAAGTTGAAATTATGAGACTGGAGCTCAGTAGAAGGAAAAAATAATTGTTAAGAGTAGTTTAGATATGTGTTTAAAATATAGGGAAACCAGATACAAAAGACCTATAGCAGAGAACAGCAGGGATGTTGTAAAATAATTTCAAGCAAAAGTCTTTCCCAAATCTAAGAATTCATCATTCTATGACAACCATTTCCTGGGAAACTGTGGCTCGCAGATTCACTTTAAAAACCAGTGACACTATTCTGTTCCAGATATATAAAGTTTACATGTCTTTCAAGCCGAGGAATAACGTCAAAAATAAAAATGTTTAAGAAGAAAAGTGTAAGTGAATCTCAATTCCCTCTTCCTAAAGAAATATATTGATATGGCAGGACTTCTCAACCACAGCACTATAAACATTTTGGACCAAATAATTCTTCGTCGTGAAGGCTATCCTTTCCCCGTATGATGTTCAGCAGCATCACTCACTCTTACCTACCAGATGCCAGTGTTACTCCTCAGTTGTGACAAAGTCTCCAGACATTGCCAAAAGACCCCTGGGAGGCAAAACTGCCCCACTGAGAACCACTGCCAAAATGATCAAAGTAAGGGGCACATGGGTAGCTCTGCCAGTTAAGCATCCGATTCCTGATTTCAACTCACTGCATGATCTCAGGGTTCATGTGTTCGAGCCCCAAGTCTGGCTCTGCGCTTCACAGCGGGAAGCCTGCCTGGGACTCTCTGTCTCTCTGACTCCCTCTCTCTCTCTGCCCCTCCCCTGCTTGCATTCTCTCTCTCTGTGTCAAAGTAAATAAATAAACTTCTAAAAAAAAAAAAAAGATAAAAGTTTGGTGCTTTTACTTTATAAGCTCCTCACAGAAAACACAAATTTATCATTTTTGCTTTGTTCTATTTATAATGTACTTACAAAAGGCAACAAACTAGACAGAAAAGGGTCCAACTGCTTATGGTTCCAGAGTGGCCAAAAGCATGGGCTTTACAACAGCAGATCTGGGTTCAGAAATTTGTAAAATTGGTTTGTTCTAAGAATTAAATACATATAAAATGCTTAGCACCTGAACACACAATACGTTTTAACTACTATTTGTTTGGTGCTAATTTTATACTTTACCCTATAGAAACTATGGAGCCCATCTTGTATTATTCTGCACTATTCTCAAAAGAAACTGGTAGAACCTGGTACGCTATAATCCTTGAATGAGATGTTTTTAATGAAAATTTCCATCTGCCTGTGAGATCTAGAAAAACTTTTTTGGCCTGTTTTGTTTTGTTTTTTTCTCTCTCTCTCAATTATAAAAGTAAAAATAAGAAGCCTTCAAATCTGCTCTGATCCTGATCTCAGCAGCCAACATTTCAATGGGACAAGCAGATAGGCTGGTGGTTGAAATTCTGACTATGAAAAACCTGGCAAAAGAAAACTGATTTAAAAAAAAAAAAAAGCAGAGGTGAGCTATCCAGGACTTTCAAAAACAATTTACTTTGTCTTATACACAAAACCCTGGGGGTGATTCTTGCAAGTTAATTTGCCCTCAATGATGGTCTCCATTGTTCTCGCTACAAACATAACCTGCTCCTCTTTCTTGTATCTCACCTAGATTTTGGCATCTTCATCCTTCCAAATACACATACTAGAAAATTCGAGTGGTTCTCTAAACTTTCACTTCCCACTTCCTCCTGTCCAAATTCTGTGGACAATTCTTGGGAAGCATCTCAAATCCCACCTCTTTCTATCCGACCCCCACTCCGTATTGCAGCCAAAGTAACGCTAGTATAAAACAAGTCTGAGTCTGTCACGGCTCAACTTAAAATCATTTACCCCAACCTGATTGTAGGAAAGTCCAAACAGCTCAGTATGGACCTAAGGGTAATACTATGACCTTAAAACTCACTGTACTTGAGACCGACCAACCCGGCTTTCCAGTCTTACCTTCCTCTCCTCCACTTCAACCTCAGCACCTTCCTTCTGACTCCCTCTTTTCATTATTTCGGTGAGCCACTGATACTCCAGGATCCCCAGTGTGAATGCCTAGCCCAGTATGAACCCAGTTACAGCACAAAGAATATGTAAAGTTGCCCCTGGGTATGCCGAAAAATATGCAATTAAGCTTCTTTCACAGCCAGCCCCGTGTGCACAGTGGGGACACCCAGAGAACCAGCGGCTCCGGGAAGAGCCTCAAACTTTACATCTGAGCTAGCCCTCCAAGACCAAGAGAGCTCAGCACATGAATTGTCAAAGGTAAGACCACAGTAAACTTGAAGCCGAGGACTGGGGTCGGCTTTGGGTGCCCGGCCCTCCAGAATCAGAGACGCACAGGACCAAGACCTGTCAGTTTCAAAACCAAACCTTGGAAACCCAAGGTGCAGGGTTCCGTTAACCCTCCCCATCTCCACGCTCCTTGGAAGAACGAAACACAAAACAACTCTGGTTTCTCTTCAGCATTTACCTCTCTGAGCCAAAACGAATCAGTAACTCTCTACCTTAATCGCCAACCCTTCCCCCCCCCCCCGCCCCCGAGCCCAGTCCCAGCCCCTTCCCTCTCCCAGCCTAGCCCACCTTTCAGCGCGCGGACCCCCCCAGCGGCAGCCCCTTTTCCCCAGCTCTGTGCCCCCTTCCCTACTTCGAGAGCTGAAGGAAACCACTTCCTCTCCTCCCTTACCTGCCGCGTGCACGCTCCTTCTTCACACCGGGTCGGTGCGAACTCCTGTTCCAGCTTGGGTCCACACCACCCCGTGCAACGTTCAACCCACGTTACCCCCGGCCCGCTCCTCCCCCACCGGCCTCTCCGCTCGCCAAGCGGCTTCCGGTTTGAGTCCGCGGCAAAAGAATTCCCCTTCCTGCTCGGCGCGGGGCCTGAAAGTTCGTCAGCGTGGCGGGGAAGGTGAGAACGGGAGCACTTCCGGACGGCCTCTGCAGAGGCGTGGCTGCCCGCCCGGCTGTCGCAGCCGCAGTTTCAGCCGCGGCGACGGCTAGGGGCGGGGCCGGTGGCTGCCGAGCCCGGCATCTGTGAGTGGCTGGGTTTGGGGAGGCGACGTTTCTGGAAGCTGCTGGAAAGCGCTCGAGTGGCGGAGGTGACGCCGGCGACCAGGGGGTGGGGCGTGATTAAAACTAGTGCGCGCTCGGCAGCGGAGGGATTACGCTGAGGAAAGAGAGTGGCGCGCACCTCGTTGCGCCCGGGCCGACGCGAGCCCGGGTCGGAAGTCGACGCGGCGGAGAGTGACCTGGGTGGGTGGGTGGGTGGTGGGGCGAGGGAAGGGCTCCCCAGCCTGCAGAGGCGGAGGGTGCAATGGAGCCTGTCGGCCGGCGCGTCCCTGCAGCGCTGCGGTCTCCACGACGACTGTGGGCCGCGCAAGGCCCCCGTAGTCCGCTCTCCTAAAGCCTCGGTGAGAGCCGAGCAGCCACAGAGTGTGTGTTCACAAAGGGTCACCACACACGGAGCTGCCCCTCCCTGTCTCCCTAAACCCCATCTTCGAGGCCAGGGGCTTTTCTGCCAGGATTCTGGGGTGTTTCTCCTTTCCTCCCTCCCAGATCTTCTAACGGTAAGGGGAGTAGCCAAAGCACAGGGACTTTGCTGTCCACCGCCCGTTTTTGCTAGTCAGCAGCCGATCTGTCCCTGCTGCGTTCATTTTAGCTGCCCTGCCTTGCTTGAACTTAAGAGAAAAGGATAGTTCTCCTGTAGTTGATAAGTTTAAGGCTCTGCTTTCGTAGGAAGGTCATGTGGCTTAAGGGACATCGTGACCGCGTGTGCTATTTCTGAGTTGCATTCTGAATCTTGGGGCAGCATATTCTAGAAGTCCTTTTGGTCGACTGGTTCTATAACCTAGAGTAACAGTTTGGATTTTGTGACCCTGTCGTGACAGAGTAACCACCGTTAGCATTTTGGGCTGGGGGGGGGGATGTTTTTAGTGGTTTCAAACTAAATAACTGTATTCTAGAATAATGCTGGTAATTTTGATAGGGCGGTATAGAGGAAACAAGTCCCTTATACCAAGAAATTCTTCAGTAAAAAGGATTTTAGTTGTCCGTACTTATGAATGCATATGGCCAAGAAATCCAGTAGGGAGTTTGTTTTTCCTCCAGACTGAAAACTAGGCTGGTTAATTTTTGCTTACCTTTCTTGTTGTCCTCGATTATTAATATGCTGGTATATTTGTTGTAAGATCTAACTAGTTTTCTCTTTTTTAAATGAATTATGAAAATAGAACATAGTATTTCCTTCTTGAAATAATAGACAAACTCGGAGCGTTTTTCTTGTTCACCATTGCTATTTCCATTTTCAGGATAGAATACAGGATTTTTTTTTTTTTTTGGTAAATAATGCTTGCCAAATTGTTAACTTCGTAAGTTGAACAAAATAATTGATTCAGTTAAAATTGTAGCTACAATTTTAAGATGGAAAAATCAACATTGCCAAACTGAATTATATCAATGAAACGTTGTTTGTGAAGTTGATTTATAGTCTTGCAGTGCAAATTTGATTTTTTGCCAGGAAAAAATATGTAATAGTGACAGAAACAAAATGGATGTAGGGCTTGGGTTGTGGAAAGAAAAGAGGATTTTAGATATACAGATTTGACTCCAGAATTTTCCCCCTTGTAAAAGGTAGAAAAAGTTCCGCAAGACTTTCTAAAAGGAGTGATGCTAATAAGGACGATTAGGAGAGGTTGACTAGAAGAAACTCTCCTTTCAGTTATAGTACAGTAGCAGTCCCAGGTTGAAAAAATTAAATACATTTATGCTTTTTCCTTGTGAATGTGTTTGGAATGCCTCTTTCTATGTACACTGGTCCCAGAAAGAGTACAGTTACCTTTCAGTAGAAAGCAATCTCCTCGTCAGCAATGTGGTGCAGAAATTGTATTTAACGTGTTTCCATTTAAAAACTAACACACTGTGGTTAAAGGAAGCTTTTATTAGTGAACAGCCAAAATAGGAATATAATGTACAATTAGGATTTTCTTCTCTTTTAAATGTTTTCTTTTCATAGCATCAGGTTTTGTCCCCTCTGCTGGATTGGATTCCTTAATCAGGAGCCAAGTCTTTAGCCCAAACCTGGGATGTAAAAGCTGCCTGCTGTGATTGGTCGTTCCGATCTCATCAAAAAAGATGAGAGTTGAAGGAACTAACCCTATTTTTTTAGCAGCACCTTTGTGAGTGCAGTCTATAATCTATTTAATTCCAACATTCAGGAGGCTGCACAAACCAAAAACTTATTAAACTTGGAGAGAAAATTAATTTGGTAACAAAATATCACCCAAGCTAATGAAAAGTGATACATAGTTTTTACCCCATATGTTTTGCTGAGGAAATAGGTTATATGTTTGACTGTGGGGTGCTCCCCTTGACCACTGGTGTGGGAAGTGTTATGTGTAAACTGTAACATTTTTAAATTTCAAGGAATTGTTATTTCTAAAATGTATCCAGACCCTGGGTTTTGGATAGGGAATGTAAACCTATATTACTATTTTTGGCAGTTATACTTGTGCGAGGCGTTTGCAAATTTAGAGAATTAAAAGAAGACACTCTAGTTTTTGCCCTCAGTGGATTCAATTGAGATAGGATAAAGACAGTACATTTATCGTACTGTAATACGTGCAGTGAGGAGGATATGCACGGCCTATTTGTAAGTGTCGCCACATCAAGGCAACACTAAAAATGAGTAGTCTGAGGAGTTGAGGTTATTTTGTACTTTAGCCTCTGAATTTTAGACGGAACATGACGACCCTTTATGTAGTCTAGACTTGTTTCCATTTTGCCCACACAAAATGAGAAGACGGTAGGATACAGAAGAGTTGTAGAATAGATCTTGGAACATCTGATTTCTAATCCTCACTCTTTTGTTATGTGACCTCACATCAGTCGCTTAATTCTCAAGGCCTCGGTTTCCAGATCTATAAAGTGAGTTTAGAATAGATGGTCACTTACAGTTCCAATATTCTACCTACTATGCCTACTTTTTGCAAATGTTTAACATTAAGAGCATGATCGTTTTTCATCTCAAACTACTTTGGTGCTGATCTAAATTTTGTATTTTCTTTTGGATTAGGTAATAGATTCACATGGTTCACATTTAAAAAGGTAAAAAAGAATATGCAGTGAAAAGTCTTCCTTCTACTCCTGTCCCAGTTTCTTCCCTAGGAAGCAACCACTGCTACCAGTTTCTTATATTTTTTTCTAAAAAACTTTCACATGTATATAAGCAAATAAATACTACATATATTCCCCCCCCTTTTGTATGTAAATGGTACTATGCACAGTGTATGTACCCTGTTTTTTGCATTTATCTTAGAAACTGTTCTATGTCATTATCTAAAGTGGTTCCTTATTCATTTTTATGGCAGCATGATATTCCACTGTATGATGTATCACTTAATCGGCCCTTTCCTTTTGGACATTAGGTTTTTTTCCTGGTCTTTAGTAAAAGCATTGTGCAATGAATAACTTTGTACATTCATCGGTTTCCACAGATGTGAATATATCTTTTCCCTAAACAGTGGCGCAGGTCTATTGGGATAGTGACATAGTTGGTAAACTATGTTATTTAGCAACCAGTAACAAAAAAATTGATGGATCAGGGTCTCAACAGTATATTGCCAGGGTTCCATCCACTTTGACTTATGTGCTCTCTATGGCAGTATAGTATAGTCATGTAGTGGAGTCTGTACCCTATTTGGTTCTAAAGTAAAATAGGAACTAAATCACATCACCTGAATGACTGTTCTTTTTTTTTTTTGAGCTGTGGATGAAGCAAATGGATATGCAGGGACCTTGTTTTAGGCAAAGAAGTATGTAAGTGTGTGTGTGTGTGTGTGTGTGTGTGTATACACGTATATATGTATGTGTATGTATGCGTATATAAATAAGTATATAAATCTTTAAACACTAAAATCATACAGCACAGCAAGATTTTCAGTGAAAGGCTCTTAACTGAGACTAATTGATGGAACAACATATTTGGGCTTTCCAGCTCATGCTTACCTCTAGGCATGTACTCACTGAGTACTATTTAAATTGATATTTTTCTTTTAAACTTTTTGCCAAGCACATGGAGCTGACTTTGTATAAGTTGCAACTTTTATGTATTCTCACTTTATAATTTTTTTTAATGTTTATCAGAGAGAAGGGGGGGAGGGGCAGAGAGAGAGGGAGACATAGAATCTGAAGTAGGCTCCAAGCTCTCAGCATAGAGCGTGATGCGGGGCTTGAACTCTGGAACCACAAGATCATGACCTGAGCCGATCTGACGCTTAACCGACTGAGCCACCAGGTGTCCTATATATTCCCACTTTACCAATGATAAAACTAAACCTAGAAGTGAACAACTGACCCAAATTTGCATAACAAAGTGGCAGACCTGGGACTAGAACCTATGTCCTCTAATTTCTAATGCAGGGCTTTTTCCAGTACATCACATGCTCCCATTTCACAGGTAGCTGTAGCAGTAGATCTGAGAATGCCCCGTGGTTAGGGACCACTTTAGGTAGGTTTCCTCTACGTAGGTTCTAGAGCAATTTGCAGTTCAGAAAGCAGCAGGTCATTTTTCTGAAAACAAAAGAACATTCTATAATTATTGAAGTAATTACACATGTTGATTAGCAATCAGGAGGACTCCCAAATCAAAAAATTAAAGATGATTTAGAGAAACACTCTTTTCCTAATTGGGACACAGATGTCTCTTGGAGATGAATTTATCAGTCGTAAGATTAGAGGGAAATTAGGATTATTTGGAAACAGCCTTACATCCCCCTGAGTTCATGCCATTTGTAAAATTTTGCCAGGAATACCTGAACCATCAGAAAAAGAGAAGTGATAGAAACAATTGCAAAAGAACTGATAAATAGAAGGGTAGAGAATGTGCTGTGGTAATTGGATTCCCCTGAAGCTGGCATTGTAGCACGTGGCCGCCACCCCTGCTTCGGGGCCTTAATTCTCCTAGCTGTTCCCCTTCTCCTTGCGTATGTGACTCATCCTTCAGACGTCAGCCTCAGTTTCACTTGTCAAGCTGTCCACCCTATGAGCAGCCCTCTACCTGCCACCCCTACTCTAATTCCTTATTACCGCCTGCTGTTTGTTTTCTTCACAACCTACGTACATATTAAGTGTCTACTAGCTTGTGAGGGCAAGGACTACGTCTGTCTTATTCGAGGTTATATATACATTGCCTAGTACGTAGTACATGTTTTGCTAATCAATGGATGATCATCACGGCTCCCAGTTCACAGGGCTGACAAAACCTACTCTTAAAATGTAGTGTTTTCCCACAGTATATTTCCCCACGTTCTTATCCTTGTTAGTTCAGGGTTTTGGAGGATGTGAGAAAAATATTAACTTACTTGTCAACGCACTTTTATTGAGTATGCAAAGCACTGTGCTAAATGCTGGATGAATGCAAAGGTGCTTAATGCATAATCTTTATCCCTAAAAAAAAGTAGAAGCATTTGTAAATGGATAGTTTTCATACAAAGGCAAAATGAAATAAATGCTAAATAGAGATGTGCAAGCAATATTCCGTAGCAACAATGGAAAGAAACTAGTTCATTTTAATTACAGGAAGGGTCTCACAAAGTTGAATTTTGACTTTGGTCTTAAAGATGGAAAAACAGTTGAGGTGCCTATATACATGGAGAATAGAGATAAGTAAGTATTTAGCTTCACTGTTCAGAAAGTCCTTAAGGGGTGCTGGGTGGGTCAGTTGGTTGGGCATCCAACTCTTGATTTCAGCTCTGGTCATGATCTCCCCTCTGGTCATGATCTCACAGTTCATGGGATAGAGCCCCAAGTCAGGCTCTGTGCTGACTGTGTGGAGCCTGTTTGGGATTCTCTCTCTCTCTCTCTCTCTCTCTCTCTCTCTCCCCCTCCCCACTCTTGCATATGGCTGCACATTCTCTCTCTCAAGTAACATTTTTTTTTAAGTCCTTAAGGTAGTAATATTTATCACGAAGTCTTATAAAATATTGTCGTAAAGCAGTCTTTAAAAATTTCAGTTATGGGGTGCCTGGGTGGCTCAGTCAGTTAAGCATCCGACTCTTGATTTTGGGTCAAGTCATATGTCACAGTTGTGAGATTGAGCCCCACGTTGGGCTCTGCACTGAGTGCGGAGCCTGCTTAAGACTCTCTCCCTCCTTTGGGGCACCTGGATGGCTCAGTTGGTTAAGCATCCGACTTCGGCTCGGGTCATAGTCTTGCAGTTGATGAGTTCCAGCCCCGCATCGGGCTCTGTGCTGACAGCTCAGAGCCTGGAGCCTTCTTCAGATTCTGTACCTTCCTCTCTTTCTGCCCCTCCTCTGCTCATGCTCTCTCTCCCTCAAAATAAATAAACGTTAAAAAAAAATGTTTTTAAGATTCTCTTCCTCTCTTTCTGCCCCTCCCCTACTCACACATGTGTGTGCACACTCTCTCCAAAAAATAAACATTAAAAATTTTTTTTCAGTTATAAATGAAATTACTCTGGCCTTAAACATTATGCTTATAAGACTAACTGTAAAATTAATATGACTGTTTTGACTAGGTTGGTGCTTTCCAACTAGTTGCTGAATCATCAGTTCAGTCTAATAATTGGATTCTGATTGCTAATTGCAGTTGGTAATTATTTAGTAAACTAATCAATTCAGACAAAACTGCCTTTGATTTTTTTCTTTTGATCTTTTTTTTTTTAAGGGGTGCCTGGATGGCTCAGTCGCTTAAATGTCTAACTCTTGATCTCAGCTCGGGTCATGATCTCATGGTTTTGTGAGTTTGAGCCCCATGTCGGGCTCAGTGCTAGCAGTGTGGACCCTGCCTGGGATTGTCTGTCTCCTCTCTCTCTGTCCCTCCCCCACTTGCACTGTCTGTCTCTCAAAATAAACATTTAAAAATTTTTTTTAAAAAACTTCAAGAATGTCTTTTTTTTAAAAAAATCTTTTTAAAACTGATTTTTATATCATTGGTGGTCTTTAATGTGTGGTTGTCTGACCACATCATAAGTTTAAGTGTAGACTATTTTTTGATGGTCTAATTTGATTTCTAAGTTTACTATTGCTTTTCTGTTCCTGTGTTCTTTTTAAGCAAAGGAGATTCCTTTCTATCTTACTAAAAAGAAAAAAAGAAACAGGCTTTAGATTCACAGACCTGATTTCACCTTGTCCACTTATTAATCACAGTTCTTCCACTTTCCAATTTTGTTTCTTCCAACAAAATACTTAACCTCCCTGAGGCTCAATTTCATCCATATGATGAAAATGTCTACTAATCCCACTGTGTCGTTTAACTAGTTTTGTGACCTGAGGTAAATGATTTCATCTGTCTGAGCCTCAGTTTTTCCATGTATGCAGTGAAATTATCTTAAATGAGGTGATGCGTAGAACAGTGCCTGGCAGTTAATAGGCCCTCAGCACATTCTGGTTTCCCTCCGTTATCTACCATCTCATCTAAACCCTGCGTGTCATTTACAATTTGCTTAAAGTTCTGTTTGCTGTAATCTTTCCTTTGATAGCTCACAGCAGTCTCTTTTTTTCCAGAGTCATTGCGCTCCTTGTGTATAGCTCGGGTTCCTAAATTGGTATGAATCAGCATTATATTGGGAACTTATTAAAAATGCAATTGCTTGGGTTCTATTCCCAATTCTGTGGGTTTGGCATGGGGTCTGGGCATCTGTGTTTTTGCCTTTCTTCTTCAGATTTTCCGATGCTCACCAGTGATCATAATTTCTCACTTATTTATTAATAACTCTGTGCTTCTTATAGTTTACATTTGACAGGTAATTATTATTTAATCCTTCAGGTTATCTTAGTTTACATCCCAAATATACCATACAGTCCATAGGGACACGAAATACCCATTATAGTGCTGTGTATTTAGTTTAGAGATTGATAAGTAATGACACCCTTTTTTTCCTTGCTGAAGTTTGAATCGTGGTAAGAAATAAGATGTAGAAATCACATAGATGAAGATTCAAATACAAGTTTACCCAAAAAGTTGTTTTGGAAACGTGGCTGAGGTTTGCAGCAACAAGGAACTTCCTAGTATTGCACTCCGGAATTAGGCTGATTTCAGCCTCACCTTTCTCTGTCTACAAGAATGGAGTTTGTCCCACTACATTTACTGTGTGATAGAGAACAGCCCAGAATAAATGGCTGTCTTCAGTTAGACAAATCCCAAATAGAAAAGAAAAAAGGAAGTGGCTGAGCCCAGAATTTTTTCTCTCAAATTTATCAGACTGGTTACTCCTTCCTACCCCAGGGAGGAGTTAGTGAGAAAGTGGAGATCAGCCATGAATATTACTCTAAGGAAGTTTCATGTGCAGTGTGACAAAGCTTTCTTGTCGTCAGTGGTACTCGATAGGTATTTGTTAGTGGATTTCTTTTAATACCTTGCATTGCATCAGGACGCTGTGATTTTTAATACTTAAGTGGGATGTTATATAGCTATAACTTCAACCAGTTAAATTAGTATATATCATTGTATAGTTATGTTTTGCTGTGCAAGAAAGTACCCCCAACGGCTTAAACCATAGATATTTATTATTAAACACAGTTTCTGATGGGTAGGAATCTGGAAGTATTTTAGCTGGGTGGTTCCAATTCAGAGTCTCATGTGACTGCAGTCATCTGAAAGCTGCATGAATGTCCCTTGACATGACAGCTGGCTTTCCACCAGAGTAGGTGATCTGAAAGAGAGGCAGAAACCGTAGTGTCTTTTATAACCTGGCTTTAGAAGTAATATACCATTTGGGGCACCTGGGTGACTCAGTCATTTAAGTGTTGGAACTCTTGATTTTGGCTCAGGTCATGATCTCACGGTTATAAGATTCAGCCCTGTATCAGGCTGAGCATAGAACCTGCTTAAGATTCTCTCCCTTCTTCTCCCCCCCCCACCCCCCCCCCACCCCATGCATGCTCTCTCTCAAAAAAAAAAAAAAAATTATGCCATCACTCTCCTGCACAGACTCACCCTGATCTACTGTGGGAGGGACCCACACGAGGGTGTGAATACTTGGAGGCAGGGCTCGCTAGAGGCCATCTTGGAAGCTGGCTGCCACAGTTATATAACATGTTAGTTTGATTTTGTTACTTCACTTTGCTTCATTTGAGATCCGATAATTGAGTAACATAGTTTCCTAGCTGGAGAATAGGTTGAAAGGATAATTTTCTGCTGCTGGCCCCTCCTTCTCATCTAGCTCCATCTAAATGAGAAGTTTACATAACGTGATCAGGGACTACCAGTGGTTTTTATGATCTTCCAGACAGTCTGAAAGTTGAGATGACCTACAGGGAGACTTATAATTACAGGTGATAATAGCTACAATTTTTATTTTAACATGAATTAATTTACTTCTGGGAGGTGCTTCATGAAGTCTGGTCCCTAGCTTCTAATTTATTGAAGTAAGGGGTTTTTTGCAGTAGTAATCAGAATGAGGTGGGACTAGGTGGCTGGTGAAGGTCATTTACCTCGCTGAAATAAACCATAGGCCCAAAAGGGTTGAAAAATATCACTTAAAATAAGCATCAGTGGTTTGATTAAAATTCTAATGCCAAAGCACTAAAGAAGTCCAAGTAAGTGCAAGGAAATGGTTAAAAATCATTAACCGTTTTGGGGCTCCTGGCTCCTCTGTCAGTAGAGCTTGTGGCTCTTGATCACAGAGTTGTGAGTTCGAGCCCCATAAAATCTTTGGAAAAAAATCATTAACCATTTTATTTTAGTCATTTATTTCACCATGTGCGATGAACTCTTATGAACTCGTAAATGAGATGAATTCATTTATTTTATGATATTTCATATGCCATGCTAAATGCAGGTTTTGTAACGGCAAAAAATAAATAGCAATGTAAGGGGAACGTGAAACATTTATTGGATCAAACAGTATAAAATTTGTATACTGTTTAATCATTTGTATAAAATCATTCTGTTTCTAATGCTTTCTAACACTATGGAAAAGACAATTTTAAGATTGTGGCAGAAAATGTTTATGACAAATTGATAATGCCTGAATGTTCTTTAGAATTCTAGTCCTAAACATTGTCGGGTCAGTTTGCATTTTAAGTTGCTTGAAGAACGTCCATTAAGTTGTGTAAAGCATTTATGCCTGACTGACCAGTTACAGAAGGCCAAATACAAGTTTAATCAAATCTTGCATCTGTATTTAAGTTCTTTACTACATAGAATGGTGTATAGAGCATACCAGCACCAGACTCTGTGCACCCTTTTGGCTATTGTAATTTCTGGTCACGTGGGCGTATTTCACAGCAGCTTTCACCCTCAATTATTAGGAGGCACTATTTTGCTAATCAGGAAAGAAATTTCAGAGAATTCATTTTACTTTCCAAATGTAGTTTGTTGTGCTTAACCAATAAAATGTTTGGTGTCAGTACTGATTAGCTTTAGGATGAGATCCCCATGATTCTTATAGTGAGAGGCTGTAGTCGATTTTTTCTGACCATGGAACGTATAAACCCTGTAAGTTGCTCAGTTGAGTCTTTAGAGCTTACAGGAGGCAGTTAATGGGAAAAAAAAAATCCTGGAATAAATTGAGAATTTTTGTAAAATGAAAGGGCAGAGAGATACAGAAAGTTGGGAAGTGTTAATTTTAGGATATTATGCCAAGAATAATGAATATATTTACTACTTTTTACAAACTCTTCCCTTCCAGGACAGAAGAACAAGTTAAGTGGCTTCACCAGGAATCAGTCAGGTCCATTCTGTAAGACAGGTCTTTTCAAAAACTCATTAAGAGACACCAAAGGAACATGATAACCAAATGTAATGCGTAGACTTTGATTAAATCCTGGTTTGAGAAAAACTGCTGCAAAACCTATTTGGGGGGGATTTTAATATGCCTAGCAATAAGCTGTATTTGGGAGTGTACATTTTATTTTCCTAGATGCGTTGTTAACGGTTATTACGGTTGTGTCGGAGAATTGCCTTTCTTTTTTTTTTTTAGGAGATGTATCTGAAGTATATTTAGAGATGAAGTTACCTTCAGTGTTCGGGAGGGTGTGTGTGTGTGTGTGTGTGTGTGTACATGTGTACAAATAGGAAAAACACATGATAGTGTTAAATGTTGAGTCTGTTGTAGACATAAGCAGTTTTGTCATACTGTCAAGTTTTCTGAAGGTTCGAACATGTACCATAAGCTGGGAGGGAAAAAATCCTCCTCCAGATATTACCTGTTTTTTTACTCAGCTTTACAAAGACCGCAAGAGAGTGTATCCCTGCTTACAGCCACTGTCTCTACCTTCCTCTGCCATGAACTCTTTGGCCTCCAGGCCAGTCAGGCTTTCATTCCTGCCTCCCACCGGCACCGTTCATTTCCACATCAGCATCGACATCCGTGTTGCCAGATCTTGTGGTCATTTCTCAGCCCTCACTTTCCCTTTCCCTCTCAGCAGCGTTTGACACAGCTCCTCGTTCTCACTTACTCTTGGTTCTCTTGCCTCAGTCCTTCTCCTTTGCCTTTTTAGTAGTTTATGCTGATTCCCCTCCCCTTTAAGCGTTGAAATGCCTCAGAACCCAGATCTTGTCTCAGTTTTCATTCCCTCCCTAACTCATCTCCTGTCCTGTAGCTGTTCGTACTGTATAGTTGCTGAAACTCCCAAGTGCCCGTCTCCAGCCCCAGCCTCTGCCCAGAGCTTCAGGCTCATGGATCGATCTGCCTACTTGATACATTCACTTGACACCAGGTAGATAGACAAAGTTCAACATCTAATATGTGTAAAACAATTGCTTGAGTCTCATCAGCCACTTCTCACCTGCAAACAAAACAGAGCACCTCCTCCCTACTTACTGCTTCCACATTCTTCCTCCTCTCAACACTAGGCACTTCATTCTTACAGTTGCTCAAGTGAGAAAGCTTGATATCCTCTCTGCCTCTTTTTCCCTCATACTATACATTTAATCCCACAACACATACAGTCAGCTCTACTTTTTTTTTAAATGTATTTATTCTTTTTTGAGAGAGAGAGAGAGAGAGCATGCCCACAAGAGTGGGGGAGAGGCAGAGAGAGAGGGAGTACAGAGCCTGATGTGGGGCTTGAACTCATGAACCCTGAGATCATAACCTGAGCTGAAATGAAGCGTCTGTTGCTTAACCAACCGAGCCACTCAGGTATCCCCAGTCAGCTCTACCTTTTTTTTTTTTTTTAAGTTTATTTATTTATCCTGAGAGAGAGAGAGAGAGAGCAGCATGAGTGGGAGAGGGACAGAGAATCCCAAGCAGGCTCTACACTGCACAGAACCCAACGCGGGGCTCGATCTCACAAACCGTGAGATCATGACCTGAATCGAAACCAAGAGTCAGACCCTTAACCAGCTGAGCCACACAGGTGGCCCCTCTCCTTTTAAAATCTGTCCAGAACTAAGCACGTCTTGAGCTGTCACCACTACCATCTTAAACCATGCCACCATTCTGTGACAGATCAGAACAGTTTCTCCAACTCAGCACTATTGACATTTGCAGCCAGTAGTTCTTTTGGGGGGGATGGGCTGACCCATGCCTTGTAGGATACTTCGTGGTATCCCTAGCCTTTACCCGCTAGATACAAGTAGCAAGTGCCTCTCACAGTTGTGACCACCAAAAATGTCACCAGACATTGCTAAAATGTCCCCTTGGGAGCAAAATTGCCTCCAGTTGAGGACCATTGGATTATAGCAATAGTCTCCTCTTCTCCCTACTTCCTTCCCTCCCCACGGTTTATTCTCCATCTGCCAACCAGTGTATCACTAAAAACATCAGTAAGGTCATGTCATTTCTTTGCTCAAAACATTCCAGTGGCTTCCCTTCTCACTAGGCTCAAAATCTATATGTGCCTACAGATTCCTTCTCTACACACATGCACACACACACCCCTGTTGAAGAACAGTTTATTGCCATTGTTTAAAGCTTTTTCTCTTTATGCAAATGGAAAAGGACACCCCTTTCACTAGGTAGATGCAGCCCTTTGTGCTACTTTATTTTTCTTTACTGCATCATATGTCAGTTTACGTGTTGTATTTATTGAGTGAATGGTAAAATAAGTACAATTGTAATAATGTATACAAAGTCTACGATTTTAATAATACGTACAGTTGTACATAATACAAATATAGCCAAAATAAGTGCTGAAATTTCAAGAAAGGCTTAGCACCTAACCTAGTCCAGAGATTTTTAAAAGATCTCTCAGAAGAAACGATGTCCAAATAAGACTTCATCTGGTAGTGGGGCGCCTGGGTGGCTCGGTTGGTTAAGTGTCCGACTTCAGCCAGGTCACGATCTCGCGGTCCGTGAGTTTGAGCCCCGTGTCGGGCTCTGGGCTGATGGCTCGGAGCCTGGAGCCGGTTTCCGATTCTGTGTCTCCCTCTCTCTCTCTGCCCCTCCCCGATCATGCTCTGTCTCTCTCTGTCTCTCAAAAATAAATAAATGTTCAAAAAAAATTATAATAAAAAGACTTCGTCTGGTAGTATAGAAGGAGAGAAAGGTATTCACAATAGAGGGAGAAGAGAAAGAGAGGAGCAAATGATTAGTTCAGTTTCAAACTGACTCTGGGGTCCCTCCATGAGATATTCCATCTGGCAGTTAAGAGATGTGAGTCTTGATCTCAAGAGGGACATCTGGGCTGTAGCTACAGATTTGGGAATAATCAATAAGTAGGCAGAAATGAGAATGTTTACATGTCATAATTGGAAGGATAACCTTGAAACGTAGTCTGATGAACTGAGGACATTCCTGATCACATGCCACAGGGGAGAATGTAGATGAGGGACTGATGGTGTGCCTCTCGAAGACAAGGGAAATAAATAAGTTAGGGTCAGTTAGATCACTTGTGCTTTAGAACTCCTTACCTTACTTCAGCCTGGTTTAAACTAAATAATCATTCTTCCTCAGGGCTTATCAAGAGTGTTGATCACATCAGACAAACAGAGCCTGCTGGTTGGGACATACAAGTTCTAAGACTCTACATTTTCTGCCTTAGAAAAATCAGTTTTTCTCTTTTTTTTCTTCTAAGATTTTATTAAACTCAAGTTAACATATAGTGTAGTGTTTCTCAGATGTAGAACTCAGTGATTCGTCACTTACATACAACACCCAGTGCTCATCACAGGTGCCCTCCTTGATGCCCATCACCAGCCCCCAACAGCTCCCCTCCAGCAACCCTTAGTTTGTTCTCTGTAGTCAAGAGTGTCTTATGGTTTGCCTAGGAAAATCAGTTTTTCAAACTTGGAAATTTGGGGGTGTGAAACCTTTAGGGTGTGGATTATGAAGTTCTTCTCTCATTCTTCTACTTTGAACTTGGAGTAGTAAACTAACATGTTTTAGTCTAATGGTCATTTGTTATACAGCAAACTGCTCCACAATTTTGTGGCTTTAAAAAATGTTTATTTCTCACAATTCTGTATATAACTGTACAGTTTTTCTGCCGGTCTCACCTGGATCCACTCACACAGCTGCAGTTAGCTGGCAGCTGGCCCGGGGCGGAAGGGTCTAAGACGGCCGCGCTGACATATCTGAGGCCAGGGTGCTTCCTGCCAGCTGGGCATCTCTCTCTGTCTCCGAGCAGGGTCTCTTCGTTCGTAATCTCCCTTGGGCTTCCTACCATGGCAGCAGAGTATTCCAAGAGGGCAAAAGCAGAAGGCTACAAGGCTTCTTAAAGCTGGTCTCAGAAGTGGTATGCTGTCGGTTCTCCTGCATTCTGCCACACTGTTATGTGTGCCGATTCTCATGTAAACCTCACAACAGGGCTACAAAAGGTAAATATCATTATTATCTTCATTTTCAAAATGAGAAAACTAAAGCTCAGCACCAGTAGTTTGACCACAGGCACCAGACGAGCAAGCCACAGAGCAAAACATGGGTTTCAGTCTCTCCTTACCAATCAGCAAACTCTGTGATGTTAATTTATCTGAGCCTGACTCCTCGTCTGTAAAATGAGGGTACTACTACTCTACAGACTTATTTTCAGGATTGAATGATTCGCTTTCTAAAGTACTGAGCAAAAGCAGTTCAAGATGGCAGCGTAGGAAGGTCCTAAACTCTTGTCCTCCCACAGACACACCAGATCTACAGCTACGTGTGGAACAGTTCCAGAGACGGCACCTCTACAGCAAAGGATAAAAGGGCTACATAGACACCGGTAGGAGAGGCAGAGGTGTAGTCTCGCTGAACACCCCATCTCCAGCACAGCAGCCCACAGCCGGAAGAGAGCTCACAAATATGGCACTTCTCCCTGAGGAGCAAGGGATTCCTGCCTCCCATTAGTCCCCCCAACTCTTGTGATCCGCGTCGAAGAGACAAACCTTTAAAACAACTGGCGTTTATTTTTTTTTTTTAATTTTTTTTTTTCAACGTTTTTTATTTATTTTTGGGACAGAGAGAGACAGAGCATGAACAGGGGAGGGGCAGAGAGAGAGGGAGACACAGAATCGGAAGCAGGCTCCAGGCTCTGAGCCATCAGCCCAGAGCCCGACGCGGGGCTCGAACTCACGGACCGCGAGATCGTGACCTGGCTGAAGTCGGACGTTTAACCAACTGCGCCACCCAGGCGCCCCTAAAACAACTGGCGTTTAAAACCGGCGAGGCTTACATGTCTAGGAGAACCAAAAGGCTGCTAGGAACTGAGATCCTTTCTGAAGGGTCTTGCATGCAGAGTCACTCACCCCATGGCCCGGCACAAAAGCAGCGGTTTGAAAAGCACCTAGACTTGATATGAAGGAGCTTTACTTGCTGATCTTGAAGCATCTGCCAGAGGAGTAGGGACTTGTCGCAACTTCCTCTGGGGACAGAGGCACTGGCAGGTGCCATTTTTGTGCTCTCCTACCTTGCTGGCACCAGCAGGCACGTAACAGTCACGGCACCCTTCTGCCCCACTAAAGCTGGCAAGCATACCCAGTCCATGTGCTCCCCCGCTATATTGCTAAAGCTGGCAGGCGTGCCCTACCCCTGTGCTCTCCGGCTGCCTTTTTAAAGCTGGCAGGTGCATAGTCCACATAGAGGACGTCCCTTGATTGCCTGGCTGTGGAAAAGACACTCAGATCCAGGAAGCCCAGAAAGTTCCAAATAAGATGACCCCGAAGAGATCTACACCAAGACAAATGATAATTAAAATGTCAAAAGTTAAAGAGAATCTTAAAAGCAGCAAGAGAAAAACAACATGTTACGGACGAGGGAACCTCTATGCAACCATCAGCAGGGTTTTTTTGGCCAAAACTTTGCAGGCCAAGGGAGTGGCATGATATAATCAAAGTACCGAATGAAAAAAAACTTGCAACCAAGAATGCTTTACCCAGCAAGGTTATCATTCAGAATTAAGGAGGGGATAAAGAGTTTTCCAGACAAGGAAATACTGAAGGAATTCATCATTAAACTGGCTTTACAGGAAGTGTTAAAGGAATTTCTTCAAGCTGAAAAGAAAGGGCACTAAGAAAACATATAAAAGTAAAAAATCTCACTGGTAAAGGTAAACATGTAGTAAAGGTAGTGGATTAATTACTTAGAAAGCTAGTCTGAAGGTTAAAAGTAGTAAAAAGTAACAAATTTAATAGTTAAGGAATATACAATTAAAAGATATGAAATGTGACATCAAATAAAACATAGGCAGAGGAATAAAAATGTAGTTTTAGGATGTGTTTAAACTTGCTATCAACTTAGATTGTTAGATATAACATATATAAATGTAAATCTCATAACCACAGAACAAACTTGTAGAAGTTATATAAAAGATGACAAGAAAGGAATCTAAGCATAACACTACAGAAAGTCATCAAACCACAAGGGAAGAGAGTAAGATAATAATAAAGAACAGAGAGGAGCTATGAAACAGACAAAAAACAACAAATGGCAATAAATACACACTTACCAATAATTGTTACCAATAATTGTATGTAAATATACTACATTCACCAATCAAAAGACACAGAGTAGCTGAATGGGTAAGAAAAACAAGACCCTCCTATATACTACCTGCAAGAGGCTTCACGTGCAAGAACATACAGACTGAAAGTGAAGGGATGGAAAAAGATGTTTCATACAAATGGCAGCCAGAAGAAAGCTGGGGTAGTTATGTTTCTATCAGAAAAAGAAAAGCTATCTTTTGATATCTTTTCAAAACATAAACAGAACTGACAGACTTTTAGACTGAGAAAATGAGAGAGGGCTAAAATAAAATCAGAAGTGAAAAAGGAGAAGTTACAACTGCTACCAAAGAAATACAAAGGATCATAAGGGACTGCTATGAATGATCATATGCCAGCAAATTGGACAACCTAGAAGAAATGGATAAATTTCTAGAAGCATACAATCTTCCAAGACTGAATCATGAAGAAATAGAAAATCTGAATAGACCAGTTACTAGCAAGGAAATTAAATCAGTAATCAAAAAACTCCCAGCAAAAAGTCCAGGACCAAGCAGCTTCACTAGTGAATTCTACCAGACATTGAAAAAAAAGTGGGTTTTTTTTTCTTTTTTTCTCTGTTTAAGTAGGCTCCACGCTGGGCGTGAACTCACAACCCTGAGATCAAGACTCGAGCTGAGATCAAGAGTTGGACGCTTAACTGACTGAGCCACCATGGTGCCCAGGAGATTTTTGTTTTTCAGAGATTTAATACCGTTCTCTATCAAAGTCTTCCAAAAAATGGAAGAGGAGGGGACACATACCAACTCATTTTATAAGGCCAGCATTACCCTGATACCAAAACCAGACAAGATACCATGGAAAAAATACTATAGGCCAATATCCCTGATGAACATAAATGCAACAATCCTAAACACAGTATTGGTAAACTGGATTCAACATACCTTAAAAGGATCAAATATCATAACCAAGTGGGATTTATTCCAATGATGTAAAGATGGTTGAATATCTGCTGATTGCAAATCAATCAACATGATACACCACATTAACAAAATGAAGAGTAAAAATAATCTCATCACCTCAATAGGTGCAGGAAAAGCATTTGACAAAATTTAACATCACTTTATGATAAAAACTCCCAACAAATTGGGTATAGAGGGGACATATCTCACCACAATAAAGGCCATATGGTCAATTTGTTTACAGCAAAGGAGCCAAGAATAAACAGTGGGGATTGGACAGTCTCTTCAATAAATGATGCTGGGAGAACTGGATATCACATGCATAAGAATGAAAATAGAGTACTGTCTTATACCATAAACAAAAATTAACTCTTAATGGATGACATACTTGAATGTAAGACCTGAAACCGTAAAACTCCTAGAAGAAACTATAGATGATAAGCTCCCCAACATCAATTTTAACGATGATTTTTTTTTGGAATTGACTCACAAAGGCAAAGGCAACAAAAGCAAAAGTAAACAAGTGGCACTACATCAGACTAAAAAGCTTCTGCATAGCAAAGGAGATCGTCAATGAAATGAAAAGGCAACCTACTGAACGGGAAAAAATATTGCAAATCATATATTCGATAAGGGGTTAGTATTATAAAGAATTCATACAACTCAATGGCAGAAAAACAAGCAATCCAATTAAAAAGTGAGCAGAGAACCTGAAGAGGCATTTTTTCCAAAGAAGACATACAGATGACCAACAGGCACATGAAAAGATGCTCAAAATTACTCATCATCAAATAAACACAAATCAAAACCACAATGAGGTGTCACCTAACACCTGTTAGAATGACTGTTATCAAAAAGACAAGATACCAAATGTTGTCAAGGATATAGAGAAAATTCTCTATAAGGAATTTTCTACAAGGAACCCATGTGCATTGTTGGTGGGAATGTAAATTGTTGCAGCCACTACGGAAAACAGTATGGAGGTTCCTCAGAAAGTTAAAAATAGAACTATTATATATCCAGTCATTTCACTTCAGGGTGTTTATATGAAGAATATGAAAACCATAATTTGAAAAGATAGATGCATCCCTATGCTCACTGCAACAGCATTGCAAAGTATTTACAATAGCCAAGATATGGAAACAGGTGTGATACACACACACACACAATGGAATACTGATTGGTCATTAAAATGAAGGAAATCCTGCCATTTGGGACAACATGGATGGACCTTGAGGGAATTATGCAAAGTAAAATAAATCAGAGAAAGACAAATACCATATGATTTCACTTATATTTAGAACCTAAAAAAAACAAAAGAAAACTTATAGGTAGAGACAACAGATTGTGGGTTGCCAGAGAGGATGGGTTTTGGGGGGTGGGCAAAATGGGTATGAAAGGGATCAAAAGGTGCAAACTTCCAGTTATAAGTAAGTCATGGGTTGTAACGTACAGTATGGTGACTATAGTCAATAATATCATTTTGCATATTTGAAAGTTGCTAAAGTTTCACAAGAAAAAAATTTTCTTTGTATGGTGACATGGTAACTAAACTTACTGTGGTTCAACTGATGAACGGATAAAGATGTTTGTGTATATACAATGGAATATGACTCAGCAATCAAAAATAAGATCAAAATGGAAGGGGGCACCTGGGTGGCTCAGTTAAGCACCTCTCTCTCTTTTTTTTTTTTTTTAATGTTTATTTACTTAGCACAAGTAGGGAAGGAG